TAACAGAAAGGAATATTATCTGAGGCCAACTAATTAAATTCCTTGCCTCTATTGATATTTAAATGTTTGAGGTGTGGGGCCTGGAGAGCTGGTTCAGCAGTTAAGAACATTTGCCTCCTGTCTTAGTTTAGGTATCTATTGTATAAAACATCATGACCAAAAGCAACAAAGACAGGAAAGGGTTTGTTTCAGCTTACAGCCTGCAAGTGGAGCTAGAGAAGGAACTTGAGGCAGAAACCTGAGGGTGGAAGCTGAAGAAGAAGCCAAGGAGGAGTGCTGCTTACTGGTTTGCACATTATGGCTTGCTCAGTAGCTTTCTTATAGCTCCCAGGACCCACCAGGCCAGGGGTGGCACCACCCACAGTGAGCTCCCCTTGCATGTCAGTCATTAATCACAAAACTGCCCACAGTTATACTTTCACTAGGACACATGGGATATGGCGGAGGCCCTGCCTTCTCTCTCACTCCTGAGACATATCTGGAAAAACTGGTCCAAGCTTGAAGCCAAGACCCTGACCTCAAAATGTCATCACATCTCTCCCTATCAAATAAGACACAAAATTTTAGCTCACTGGCTGATTATTTTCTACAAATATTTCTTTCATTTATGTCTACATAAGCTTACTTTTCAACTATTTGCCATCACAGGGTCTCTCTCAATGTTTAAACTTGATGTATTTGAGATAAAATTGTCTGCCTTCTTTCTACTGAGTAGGCTGTGATGAAATGTAATCATGCTGTGTGTTGTTTGAGTCTCTTACTCCAGTGTCTGTGTAATTGTTTAAATATCCTTTTGTCTGCTTGTCTAGCTAGTCTGAATATATTATTTGATATTATATTGTTCTTTGAGAATTTCCTACACGTATACAAATATTATCATGTCTATCCCGCTTCCCCCTTCCAATTCCCCACATACCCCCAACTTCACGTCTTCTTCTTCCTCCTCTTCGTTTTCTCCTCTTCTGTCTATAACTCACTAACTCCAATTAGTTCTTATCACATGTACATGGATGTGGGGCCATCTCCTGGAGCATGGGAAACCTACTAGTGGCCATATCCTCAAGGAAGAATGATCCTCCCTTCCCCAGCAGTTATCAACTGCCAATAGTTCTTAGTAATGGGTGGGCTCTGGAGAGCACCTCCCTTGTCTACACCAGAATTGTGACTGGTTTGATCTTGTGCAGGCCCTATGCAGGTAAACCCAACTACTGTGTGTTCATGTGTTCCCTCTTCTTCATTCTTTGGCTCTTCTTACATTCTTTCTATCTCCTCTTCCACAACAAACCCTGAGACTTTTTGAGCTTGTTAAAGATGTTCCATTTAGGGAAAATCACTCACAGTCTCTTTTTCTCAGCACCTTGACAAGTTAGGAGTCTCTACATTGAAAAAAGAGAAACTTCTCTATCCAAGTTTGAGAAAATCTCATGTCTATGGAGACGACCATAAATGTTTCAATGGCAATTTGATGATGCAACCATTTAGCAAAATAACAATAATGATTTTATGGTCTATGACCATCCAAACCATGGACTTTTGACCAGTATTATAGGATCAGACATGACATTCCATCCTGTAGATCAAACCTCAAAATCAGAAAGTAGTTAGTTAGTCTGTAAACAGTCCTGTCTCTATTGTACCAATGGCATATCTTGCTTGGCAGGTCAATATTGTAGTATTCAGTACTGAGTAAGACTATTGATGTCTTTTTTTTTTCCCCACCAGCCTGGATAGCAACTTCCACCACTATGGAAGCTTTCCTGAAGATAAGAAATTTCCCAGTCAGTTTAGTACTGATTTCTCTGTATGTTCTTCAGCTAAACATAATGGTAGCTTCAGCACTAGGGTCTTACCATGTAGTTATGTGATTTGACATATTTGTGAACCAACTGTAGATAAAAACTATAATGGTATGCTTACTTCGAATCAGTCTATAAGTAAACAAGAGTAAATATGAATTTAAATTACTTTTAATTCATAAGACTTAAACAAATCTAATGAATGTTTTATTTTAAAAGTGAAGAAAGATGATGTTAACTTGGATTTGTACAATGTCACAAAACAATTTGTTAGCTATTGAAGAGATACTGCTAATAATTGATAATTTAAGCTCTTGTAGCCTTCCAGGTAGATCTGTTTTGTAAAAGATTTAAAATTGAGATGTCCAGCTTCTGGTTGCCATTTGATGTTGGTGATTTCCCCCGACTTCATTGGAGAGGCTTGTTACTGCAGCAGGTAGCAGTTAATGTAGAAACCCGTAACTATCACAATGCTGAGAATAAGTGATGGTGGAGTGCTTTGCCCTAAATGAGACATCTATATCATACCATCCATGGCTCAGGGACCATCATGAAAGAGAGCATGAAAGGGGGAGAGACATGACATAGTTCTTGTACTCATGAACTCACCGCAGCTATGTTTATCTACCCAAAACTGTGCCTGTTGACACTGAATCACAGATGGAAGAAGGTCCTATGACAGAGAACAAAGAATAGGAGACCATGGTAAATGAAGACCACATGAGAATAGGAAGAAGCAAAGTGCTAGAGAGGCCCACAGAAATCCACAAAGATACCCCCACAATAGACTGCTGGCAATGGTCGAGAGACAGCCCGAACTGACCTAGTCTGGTGATGGGATGGCCAAACACCCTAATTGTCGTGCTAGAAACCCCATCCAATGACTGAGGGAACTGGATGCAGAGATCCACAGCTAGGCCCCGGGTGGAGCTCCGGGAGTCTAATTAACGAGAAAGAGGAGGGTTTCTATGAGCGAGAATTGTTGAAACCAAGGTTGGATAAAGCACAGGGACAAATAGCCAAACGAATGGAAACACATGAACTATGAACCAATGGCTGAGGGGCCCCCAACTGGATCAGGCCCTCTGAATGGGTGAGACAGATGATTGGCTTGATCTGTTTGGGAGGCACCCAGGCAGTGGGACCGGGTCCTGTGCTCATTGCATGAGTTGGCTGTTTGAAACCTGGGGCTTATGCAGGATCGCTTGGCTCGGCCTGGGAGGAGGGGACTGGACCTGCCTGGACTGAGTCTACCAGGTTGATCTCAGTCCTCGGGGGAGGCTTTGCCTTGGAGGAGGTGGGAATGGGGGATGCGCTGGGGAGAAGGGGAGAGGGACAGGAGGGGGGAAAAAGGGAATCCATGGCTGATATGTAGAACCGAATTGTATTGTAAAATTTAAGAAAGAGACAAATGTTATTTTGGATTGGAGTTTCAAAGACTTCAGTTCATATGCAGTTGGCATTGTTGGTTTTTTTGGCTCCAGATAGATAGTATGTTATGTCAGGGCATGTAGAAGAGGAATATTACTCACCCTGGCATTGTGGCCAGGAAGCACATTGTTTGAGGTGGGGGCTAGGGTATCACTATAGCCTTCAAAGGTAGGCCCTCAGTGACCCACTTCCTCCTACTAGACCCAATCTCCTGACATTCCCACCACCTCCCAAAAGCACCACAGGCTGGAAGCCAAGACCTTGGCACATATCCTTTGGAGGACATTCAGATCTAATTATTTCATAAATGAGTATCATAAGCATACTTTAAATGTCAGGTATACCATCTCACAGCTTGTTGGGTTTCACTCAATGCTATTTTTTTCCTGAGGAATACATTATAAAGTTACAAATATTTAAACTATTGAATAGGCATCAGGATAACCTAACTTGTGTTTATATAGTGTTCTATTGGCAGGTGTTGAATGTATCTCTATAACTGTAAATCAGTCTATTTCTCCTTTTATCTCTACTGTTTTCTGCTTCGTGTATTCTGAAGCTCTACAATCTAGCATATGGACACTTAGAATTACAATGTTTTCCTGGTGGGATGATCTTTTTGTTATTGCATAATGTTTCTTTTTGTCTTTAACAATATGTAGTTTAATATATGACCACACTCACTTTTATTGGAATCTGTTTGAGTATGCTTTCACATCCTTTAATTGTTCAACTTGCTTATGTCACTGCATCTTCTGAACATCTTTTATTGACAGCATATAGTACTATCATGTTTGTTCATTTATTCTGCCTATCTCTGCCCCTTCAATGTCAGGTTTAGACTATCAAATGTAAAGTAATTGCTGATATGTGAAGGATTTAGTCGTCTATTTTAGTATCCATTTCTCTCTACTTGCTTAATTGCTCCTTGGTTTCTCTTGCATTCCTGTAAGTTTCTTCAACACTCTTAGAAAACCACCTTAATTTTTGATGATGTTTTAAATTACCACCTTATATAGTTTTTAATGATGGCTGTAGAACTTACAAAAACCCATAAAGTCTGTTGGGATTAATGTCTGACAGCTTTGGGGTTTTGTTTCATTTTCTTTTGTTATTTATGGACAGGGTTTCACTCTGTAGCCAGGCTACCCTGTAACTCTATGTTCTTCAGCTAAACCATGTGGTAGCATCAGCACTAGGGTACTCTTTAAGGGTCTTTCAGGCTACTTTCTCAACTGGAGCCATTCAAGCTGCTAGGTTTGAGTGATGCGCATGCGCTCCTAAAGAGGCACTCAGATCTTTGGCCCCGCTCAAGGATGACGTCTATTAATGCGACATCCACTGGGATGACACTCGGTGGAGCGACATCAGCTGGAACAATGTCTATGGGGGCAGCCGATGGAGGGATTGTCTGTTGGGCGGTGTCTGTTGAGGCAATGTCTTTGTTGGCAACATCTTTAGAAACCGACAACGGTAGAAGTGGCATCTGTTAGAGCTTGTTGGAGCCACATCTATTTTGGAAACCTACTGGATGACCTCCGCTGGTATGACATGTCTTAAGGGCGACGCCCATTGGGCGTGGCCTGGAGGGCGCCCACTAAGGACGTCAGCAAAGCAGCACTGTGATGTGTGCGTTCTTGAGGTCCTGTTACCAGGCTGTCTAGGGCCTTGGCTCAGTCTGGATCCGGACACCGGAGAAGACAGTCGCAGGAAGGGAGACCAGAAGACAGTCCACTCCTTCAGCCCCCAGCCCTTGGGGCCTGACGGGTAGCCATGGACTTGTACCTGAACAACTGTTTGAAGGCTGCCGAAGCTGCTGCCTCCAAAGCCGCTTCTGGCAACCTCAAAACTGACAAAGACACTTGTAGTACCGTGAGTGGTGGCCCCTCCATAGTGTCCATTTATTCATTGCCCTTCTTTCTGGGTCAGGGCAGGTTTCAGGCCAGCAGGTAGAATCATGGGGAAAGAGTCTGGCTGAAGGGCAGGAACAGGACAGACTTTTTCACGATGGAGCCTCCCACCTTCTGAACCAGGGCAACGGTTGACTCAAGGTGCCACTGACTTATACTAGCCTGGGCAGGACCCAGAAGTAGGGTGCTGGCTTAGGAAGTAGGAAGGTAAGGCCTTCTTGATTTACAGCGAGGCAGTTCCTTCCACCCAGGTGCCTAGCAACCTGGGTTGTGCTATCTGGTTCAAGTGTGACAACTGATGTCAACTAAATGAACACTTCCTAGTAGAAAAGACAAACATTCGCATTTCTTTCCCACAGAAGAGACAGAAACCTATTGTTCCAAAGATTGGACCATCTAGCCTGTTGGACTTGCCCCTGGGGGCCAAACTGCCCATTATCCCAGGAAGTACTAACATATTCTATACCACAAATATAAGTGAAAAGGTAAACTACATTTTAATGGTGTTTAAGTGGTTTTCTTTGCCCTTTTTAGCTGTTAAATTGGAAACATTTTGTTATGATTGCACTTTGTATATCACCTTCAGTTTCACACAAATGGAATGAAATGAGCTTCAATGTTTTAAAGTCTTTAAACTCACTTTAATGATAGAAAGCCCCAGAAAGAGCTGCAAACACTCCATCTAGACTTTTCTTCAACCACAGCCTCAACTTGACAGGTTGTGATCTTTCTGGCCTACACATACACAACATACTGATTTCTGCTTCTGTGCCTTGGTTCATCTGGCTCCTGAAACTTTCCATGTACTCTCCTCTCTTTGCTGACAGTCTATCCTGACCTATGTATACAGGAATTGGACTAAGGTTGAGCCTATAGGTATATTAAGCACAGAGTTCATAAATAGTATTCCACGTGCCACCTCTAAAGTGAAAAATGGACTGGGAGAAGAGAGGGAAGTTGAAAGACATTATATTTACCCAGATCAACCCATCACATTCTTTCACTTCAGTTTCTGCTTGTATATTTTATTTTCAGTGAACATTCTAATTCTTTCAATAAACTGATGTCTAAAAGTGTATTTTCATGAATTTTGCATTTGCAATAATTTCACATATGTTTCTTTTTGCAGCTTTATCGGCCTTCTTTTGGTTTTAATCTTAGTGATCCTTACTGTAGACTCATGGAAACCACCTACCAAAGTCTTCATGATCCACACCTTAAAGCATACTTCAGACGAAAAGACATGCTCAAGAAACTAAGACAGGGAGGCTACATCACCAGCAATAACAAAGTGCGTGGAGGCCTGCTTCTAACCAGCAAACTCTAGGCACTTGCTAGGTGCTTTAGTACCTGTGCCAACTTCTAGTCGACCACTAGCAGATATCGCAGAAAGAAGTCAGTAAAATGCTTAGTGTCGGGTGGCTGTTTTTTCCTGTAAAAGCTGCTTTATAGTTGACAATTTTTCAGTGATAGGAAAAGATAATTACAATTTTTGGTATGTGAATGCACTGACGCATTTATTTTCAGGTCTCTAAAGGAACTTTGACTTGGAGCTATGTTAGTGAACTATTTAGAAAATCTCTGGTGGGTCATCAACTGTCTAAAGATCCTGACTACCGAAATGTTACAAAAACTCCATCCATTCTTACACTCGATCCTAAAGTTGTTACTAAAATGAATGTTCTTCTTCTCTTCAATAAACATGTTCTAATTTTCAAAATTTATAATGTTTTTCATTTTGAATTTGTAGGTCATATGTTCCTTAAAAGAGCTGAACAAATACAGACAATATCTTACCACTTTAAAAATTGACTTTGAGAGAAATTATGTCAGGGAACAAGTAAGTTAAATATTTGAGTTTGTTTTATTTGGGACCCATAAAAAAGATTTGTGAAAAGCTAGGCCCTTTGCACAATACTTCCTTAAAATATTCCAGGAATAAAGTCTCTACAAAGAATCTGTAAAAGATAGAGATCCCATTTGATATTTACCTATAAAAACTTTATTTGTGGAATGAGGCCATGCAAGGCCTAAAAGCTGGTTAGCAGAATTAACAGTTTGTAAAACTCAGAACATTTGCTTAAGATTAAATTTAAGGAAAATATATCAAAGAAAAGGTTTATTTCTGTCAAACATCTGACATCCAATAATTGTTTTCTTACAGAAAATTATAGAAAGCCAGGTGAATAAGCTGAACGAAGAGAGACACGCTTGTGCCAACGCTGCCGCTGCTGCCTCATTTCAGCAGTGGTTGTTACGAGAAGGGAAGAAGACTTCCCCGCATCAAGACCGAATAATAAAACGAAGGTAGAGTCAGGGTTCGAGTATATTTCAAAATGGGCACAATAGAGACCCCCAAAACTGCAAAAACACTAGACACATTTAAGGCCCTCAGCATTTTCAACATGGGGAACTATATCAAGGGGGCCTGCTCTTCCAGTGGACTAGGGTCTGAATCCCAGTACCCACATGGTGGCTCACAACTATCTGTAACTTCAGTTTTAAGGGATGTGATGCCCTTCGCAGGCACGTGGTGCACAGACTTACATATGGACAAAACACCAATACACAATTTTTAAAAAAATTTAAATTATAAAAATGACATCAAGAGGCACAAGGATTGGGAACCTTGTTACTAAGGCTAGGCAGGCCAGTTTCTACCTGAGAAACTGGAGCTGCCAGGAGACCAAGAGGTAAGTCAAACTGTTATTGAAGAAATGCAAAATATAAATCACTGATTTAGTGAAAGCCAGGTCTGTGGTACCAGAGGGAGAGAGAGTATCTTTAACACATGTCAAACATGAGTTTAAGTAAATTATTTTAATGTCACAATGACCAAATTGCTGCAACTTTATCTAATGTAAACATGCCATTCCTCTACCAAATGGGTATTTTCCTTCAGCTACTAATCACACATTACCGTGTAGAAATCAAGCTGCAGCCTTAGAAGCTAAAGGGAAGAATTATAAGGTTTTTTTTTTCCAAAAACTTTATCGTAATTGAAAGCCAGGTACTCATTATGTGGCTCCTATAATCCATACTTTCATCTCAGAGTATACCAGAATACATGTTGATATTCCAGAGTTCCAGAGTGGCAGGTATCCTGAAAGACTTACATTCCTTTGTTTGACTTCTACTTAGACATTTGTGTATGATTAATAAAGAGCTAGACAAAATTGAAGACACCTTGGGAAGAAGAAACACAGTGCAGTTAGAAGAAGAAAACAGACTCCATTGGTATAGTGTTCAAACAAAACTGAATCAACACAAACAGATTGAGGAGGTGAGGATCAAATTTTAAATGGGTAACTTGCATGGTTGTTTTATTTGTAAACAACTTGAACAGATTCACTCTATCCTTTGAAGTTATTTCAGTTTAGAAAAGAAACCCAGGCCAGCTAGAAGGATTCAGTGGGAAAGGCACTTCCGGTGCAAGCCTGGTGACCTAAGTTCAAGTCCCAGAACACATGTGAAGTTGGAAGCAGAGAGCTCAGTCCATAGAGTTGTCCTATGACCTCCACGTGAGTTCTGGTGTGGCTCTTTGTTTCGTTTCTCTGTCAGAAGACCTTTAAGAGCAGCCAAGTACATGTGATAACTTCCCTGAGTTAGAAGTCAACACCCTCTTACCAGTATCTTTTGAGATTCATCTTCAGAGTCACATTTTTGCTGGCGTCATGCTTGTAATAACAAAATAATTTCTTTGCTGTTCCACTTCATCATATCCAGCAGGACAGTCCCAGTGAATGGCAGATAGATAAGCACATTCACAAGTCAATGCAAGACTTGCTTTATTATTGACCCAAAATGTGTTAGGCCATTGATTTGACCTAATTTGCATATTGGTTGGAGAAAAAGAAAATAGTTTCAAAATGAAATAGACATATGGTGAGAACTGTAATGGCATATCCCATAGGAATGGCAATCCAAGGAGATGAAACTTCTATCAAAGATTGGAGTAGAAGTTAAGAGAGACGCAAAAGCTGACGAACATCGGCGAAAAATCAGAGAGGAAATTAACCAAAAGGTAGTTAGCTTTTGCTGGACTTGGGCTGTCTTAAGAAAGGCTTTTGCCACAATTTTATATTTTAAAATATGAATTTTCAGGAGATAGTTATTGATGGAGCCCCAATCGATATTGATTCTCGCCCCAATCTATAATTCAAGAGTCTCCAGAAAGTTAAATTAGATTGAGTTGTTACTAAAATATGCTTTTTCTCAACAGTAAAGGAATTGTCTAGCATGTACAAGACCCTAGCTTAAATTTCCAGACTGTAAGAGAGCATGAACACATGCACACATGTGCACAAGCCTATTTACAATTTCATGCTGAATCATAAAAGGAAACTTGCCTCTTAGTACCTCTCTTCAAATTCGTTGTAAATTTAGATATCTCCAGACAGGAACAAAGTTCTACCTCAGGAACATCATCACATTTGAAATAATCTATGTTGTATTTTTACTGTCAGGTTTGTATTTGAATTTGAAACCTATTTAACGTATTTTTCATATTTTGCAGAAAAAAGTACTGCTTCAAAAAAGAATGGCCTACCATTTACAAAAACTGCAAGAAAAAGATAAAAAAGAAGAAAAGCGGGAAGCAAGTGTCCCTGAAAGCAAAAGACAACCTGAAACAGGTGAGAGAGATAGGAGAGAGAAAATAAAAGACATAGTGGATGAGTGGAAGTTGAGCAACAATGTATTGACTATTAGTGGCCACATAAAACCACCTTATGCTTACACAATTTTTTAAAAAGACCCCTACAAAAGTAAGTACTAGGAGCCCTCAATTCCTGTGTCAGGTACTCTGTGATACACTTTCCAGTTACAGATCCAGTTAACAAAAGTATATGCACAATACATATACGTAACAAGTAAATACACAGTTTAACAAACAGCCAGGAAGAGGAGATAGCATGTACACTTAGGTAAGAAATCCAGAAGCAAATGAGAGAAGTAAGTTGAGGCAGGCAGTAAGAAAACATTAAAAAGTGAAGAAAAGTTTAACAAGCCAGTAAGAACAGAAATAAATTAGAGAAGTTAGATCAAGAAAGGGATAGTAGACAAAGATCGAGAGAATATTAAAGTGTACAAAGCAAGTAATAGGGAAAGAAGAACAAAAATCTTGGAAAAGAGAAAGCACCTTGTAGGCAAACATGATACAACAAGAACCAATGAAGACAAGGAGAGAGCGAAAAAAGACCAGGAGCACCCAGTAGACTCCAGCATGAATGCGTTTGTGGGAGTAGAGAGAGATGAAGACAATTAGAGAAGAGATAGGAGTGAGTAGAGAAGGAGGGAAGGTAGACAAGGAAGGAAGAGCCAGTAGGAAAAGAGTAAAAAGACTGTGATGGTGAGAGAGGGATTTGAAAAGGATTACTAAGGAAGGAATTCCAATACACTTGTAAAGGTGTGCAGAGATATCTAAGAGACTTCAGCCCTACGAAGTTAAAGAAGCAGAGTGCTTTTCTAAAAGTAAGTAAAAGGTAAGGAGGGAAGGAGGGGACTGTAAGTTACAAAGGGGCAAAGGGCTTGGATGAAGGGAGACAGTACTCTTTAAAAGGAAATAAGGAGAGGAGACAGCATACTAGTTATCCTTCCTGTAGAGAGACTTGAACTAAATAAATTATGAAGATGCTGTCTGAAAGAGGAAGGAAGAGAAAATGAATGCAGGAAGTAGGAGGAACAGGGATAGCAGGGAGGGTGGAGGGAACAAAACAGAAAAGGAAAGAGAGAAGAAAAAAGGAGGAGGATGGGAAGGGAAAAAGGAAAGAAGATAAAACAAGAAAGAAGGAGCAAAAGAAGGTACATAACAGGGGCAAGAGTGGGGAAAAAAGAAGGAAGAGAGAAGGAAGAAAAGAAGGGGGAGAATTAAAAGGAAGGAAAAGGAGGAAGGGGAGTGAAAAGGATGAGAACAAGAGGAAGAGAAGAAAGAGGAAGGAGGGAGGGGGAAAGAGGAGACCAAGAGGAACAGAAGAAAGAGGAAGGAGAGGGAAGGATGAGAACAAGAGGAAGAGAAGAAAGAGGAAGAAGGGGGAAGATGAGATCAAGTGGAGGAGAAGAAAGAGGAAGCAGAGGGAAGGATGAGAACACAGGAAGAGAAGAATGAGAAAGGATGGGGAAGGATGACAACAAGTGGAAGAGGAGGAAGAGGAAGGAGGAAGAAGATGAGAAAAAAGAGGAAGAGAAGAAGGAGGGGAAGGATGAGAACACAGGAAGAGAAGAATGAGAAAGGCAAGGGAAAGATGAGAACAAGAGGAAGAGAAGAAAGAGGAAGGAGGAGAAAGATAAGAAAATGTGGAAGAGAAGAAAGGAAGGAGGGGAAGATAAGAAAAAAAGGAAGAGGAAAAAGAAGAAGGAGGGAGGGACAAGATGAGCATAAGAGGAAGAGGAGGAAGAGAATGGAAAGGGAAGGGTGAGAACAAGAGGAAGAGAAGAAAGAGGAAGAAGGGAGAAGAATGAGACCCAGAGGAAGAGAAGAAAGGAAGCAGGAGGAAGGAGGAGAAAAAGAGGAAGATAAGAAAGGAAAGAGGTAGAGGGAAGCATGAGAACTAGAGGAAGAGAAGAAGGGAAGGAGGGAATGATGAGAACGAGAGGAAGAGAACAAAGAGGAAGGAGGGAGGAGGAGAGCTGAGATCAAGTAGAGAGGAAGGAGTGTGAAGGATGAGAGCAAGAGGTAGAGAAGAAAGAGGAAGGAGGAGAAAGATGAGAACAAGAGGCAGAGGGGAAAAGGAAGGAGAGGGAAGGATGAGAACAAGAGGAAGAGAAGAAAGAGGAAGGAAGGAGGGGGAAGGATGGGAACAAGAGGAAATGAAGAAAAAGGAAGGCGGGAGTGGGAAAGATGAGAAGAGGAAGAGAAGATGAAAACATGAGAAGGATGTGAACAACAGGAAGAGCAGAAAGAGGAAGGAGGATGTGTGAAAGTTGAGAAGAAGAGGAAGAGAAGAAAGAGGAACAAGAGGGAAGGATGAGTACAGGAGGAAAAGAAGAAAGTAGAAGGAGGATAAAGATGAGAACAAGAGGAAGAGAAGAAAGAGGTAGGAGGGGGAAGGATGAGTACAAGAGGAAGAGAAGAAAGAGGAAGGAGAGGGAAGGATGAGACCACGGTGAAGAGAAAAAAGAGGAAGGAGGGAGGGGAAAGGATGAGAACAAGAGGAAGGGAAGAAAGTGGAAGAAGGTAGGGGAAAGGATGAGAACAAGAGGAAGAGAAGAAAGGGAAAGGAAGGGGAAGGTTGAGAATAAGGAAGAGAAGAAAGGAAGGAGGGAGGGAGGAAGTTGAGAAGTGGAAGAGAAGAAAGAGGAAGGAGGGTAAAGAATGAGAACTTGAGGAAGAGAAGAAAGAGGAAGGGGGAGAAAGATGAGAACCATAGGAAGAGAGGAAGAGGAAGAAGAGGGAAGGAAGAGAACAGGAGGAAGAGAAGAAAGAGGAAGGAGGTATGGGGAAGGATGAGAACAAGAGGAAGGGAAGAAAGAGGAAGGAGGGGGAAGAATGAGAACATGAGAAAGAGAAGAAAGAGGAAGGAGGTATGGGGAAGGATGAGAACAAGAGGAAGGGAAGAAAGTGGAAGAAGGTAGGGGAAAGGATGGTAGCATGAAATAAATACAGGTGGGAAGAGGGAGTATACCTGGGAAGAGGGAAGGAAGAATTGGGAGTAGGGAGAAGAAGTGGTGGGAGGCGGGAGGGAAGAGGTGAGAGGTGGGGTGGGAGGAGGGAGGAAAAGGTGAGAGGAATGGTGGGAATAGGGAGGGAAGAGGTGGGAGGAGGGAGGGAAGAGGTGAGAAGAGGGAGGAAAGAGGTGAGAGGAGGGGTGGGAGGAGGGAGGGGAAATGTGGGAGGAGGGATGGGAGGAGGGAAGGAAAATGGAGGAGGAGGGAGGTAAGAGGTGTGACAAGGGGTGGGAAGAAGAAGGGGAAGAGGTGGCAGGAGGGAGGAAAGAGGTGGGAAGAAGAAGGGAAGAGGTGGGAGGAAGGGTGGGAGGAGGGAGGGAAGAGATTGGGAGGAGGGAGGGAAGAGAGGAGGGAGGGTAGATGTTGGAGGAGGGAGAAGAGAGAATAAGGTGAAGAAAAAGGATAGGAAAAAGAGGGAGGAAGAAAGGAAGGAAAGGAGAAGAAGGAGAGGAATCGAAGGAGGAAGAAAGTACAGAAGGAAGGAAGCTAGCGAGAATAGGGATGAAAGAAAGCAAGGAAAATGGACAAAATGGAGTGAAAGTCAAAGAGAAGCAGGGGAAGAAAGGAAGGACATTTAAAAAAGAAGAGGGAATTATGGGAGAGATGCTTGAAAAGGAGGGGCCCAAAGAGTAATTCAGGCCTTGTAGGGGGAGGGTTATTAGTTTTTGAAAACACGATATGTAGACAGATTCATAGGTCTGAATTTTAGAAAAATAAACCAGAAAGAAAACATAAAACAACATGGCAGGAAAAGAGAATCAGAAAGAAGGCAAGAAAAGAAAAAAATTGAAGAGGAAGAGCCAATAAAATGTGAGCTCATGAAAAGAGATGGAAGGAGAAAGGGAGAATGGAGGAGATGAAGAGGAGGCTAGAAAGGGGACAGGCAGAAGATAGAAAAGCAAAAGGAAGATTTAAAAAAGCAAACATGAACAAAAGTAAAGGCCTTGAAAAAACCCTAAAACAAAACCTGCAGGGAAAACTTGTCGGGATAAAAGGTGAACTACTGGAGACAAAGTCAATTAGCATGATGTGGAACTAGTGAGATCAAGTCCACTATGGGTAGGAGTCATTTTGAAAAGGCACTAAAAGACTTGAACTAGAGATTATGCTAGGTAGATAGGTAGGCGAGAAGAAAGGGTAAGATAGAAAGAAAACCCTCAAGAGAACAAGGAAATCTGGCACAACAGGAGTACCCAAAATGTAAAGGCTAAAAATACACAGGTGATTCAGAAGAAAAGTGAATCAGCATAGACTGGATTCTAAAAAGCAGCTAGTAAATTAAGACAATATACAACCTGAGGAAGGAGAGCAAAGGCTTAGCAAACAGGAGCCTGGGGAGCCAGAGAGATGGTTCCATGGATAAGAACATTTGCTGTTCTTGCTGAGGACCAAGCTTGGTGCCGACACCAACATCAGGTGACCCACAGACACCTTTGACTCCAGTTCCAGGGATCCAGCACCCTCTTCTGGTCTATGCAGGCCCCTGCACACATGAGGTGCTCACACCTACACTCAGACACACACACACACACACACACACACACACACACACACACACACACACACGCACACACACACGCACACACACGCACACACGCACATGCACATTGAATAAAATAACAAGAGTTTGTAAATAGAGAAAGAGAGGGGAGACATGGAGGGGGTGTGACAGGAAACGTAATGAAGGCATAGGAAGAAGGGGGAAAGGGGGATTAGTGAGGATGAGTGAGAGAAAGTCATCAGAGAAGGCAAGAAAAGAAAAGACAGGGTGGAGAAAGCAAAAGTATAAAAATGAGTAGGAAAACATACTGTTTTTAGTATTTGGGAATCTGATTATGAAAGAAAAATGAAAAGGAGCAAGTAGGTGACATAGATTTGCAACAGTAAAAGAGATTTAGAATTCAATCCAAATATAAACACAGTAGATGATAACAGGAAACACCTTAAAAGGATGAAGCCAAGGAATGAG